AATACATTTTTAATGGATTAACCGACCTGCCAAGCCTTTGTCCGGAACCTGAAAATGGCATGGTTGGTTTTTTAGGTGGTGGTTGATAGTCTTCATCCAACCTGCGTTCTACACGAATATCCACTGGCTGATCATATCTTACATTTAGCCAGGCCAAAGGTGCACGTCTGCGCAAATAATTAATCCAAAATTAATATCTTACTTCAATTAATCAGTAGAATGACAACCTTAAGTACCCATTATTAATGGCTTTAAGGAATTCTTCGTTTGCTGGATCGTCATATGCCATTAGAGGACCATCCTCGATACTAAATCCATCCCTCCAAAATGTCAAATGACGGACAACCTATGGTGTTTTATTGTTAAACCGAAGAATTTTTTAAAAACATTATTTAGTAAACGTGCTCACCGTTCTGGGTGGTTCAGTGGTGGAAGGTTGTGAATTCACTTCAACCGAAGGTTCTTCATCACTTCCAAGTCTGTAACCTGCGATCGCAAAAATATTTCAAATTTATGCGCAAATAATATGTAGGAAAAAAGAATCTTACCAGTGCCAGTGAAAGTGCGTGGAGCAGGTGTAGTTTCTGGTTCTTCATATCCACGCCCACCTCTTATATCAAACATAGATCATAAAATTCAAGGATTATCCCATTGTATAATAACATTATATTTAGATAAAATCTTCTCTTACTCGGTCGCCTTTTTAAGAATGTCCTGGACTAATGATTTTGGCTGCTTTGAGCCGGGTTTTTGCATAAAAATTCCACTGTACAATAGTAAAAATCAAACATTGAATATAAGATCTTATCCCATAGGCAATAGTATTTAAAATTAGCATTGTTAGCTCACGATTTTTCACCACCGGCAAATAGATTTTCGCGCACTTCTTCCTCTTCCTCCTCATCCGATTGTTCTTTATCATAATCACGTAAAGTAGCATAGTGGGAGCTAGGAGTAGAATATTTTTGATCATTAGGAATACTTGATTTAAGAAGATTTATAAAGGAAGACAGTGAAATATTACGTCCGACATACTTTTTTTTTTGTGTTGAGCCAGAAGCTGTGCCATGAGGCGCAGGAACTTGCGTTCCTTGAAACGAGCCCTCAGCATTTTCCTCTTCTACGTCATTTCCTTCATGTGGTTCTTCATAATAATTACCCACCGCAGCCTAACATTAACGGAATACCTTAAAAAATTTTCATGATAGCTAATTTTACACATTTTACACTTTAAGGTCCAGAAAAGACTTCTAATTACACTCAGATTCCAGTTATTCGCTTCCAAATAGAATCGAGCTTGTTGCTCATCACAGGAAACAATCGCGGTAAAGCGTTCAATTAATTCAGAATGATCAGACATTACGAAAAAATCAAAACTTCGGACAGAAGTAGAGAAGATACCGTATAATTACCGTATAATAACCTTATATATAATACCTAGAAAGTACATATAGATTTGTCACGTGATCACTCATTTCCTATGAAAAATTTCTATTGGTTAGCTTTGTTACACTAAAATATTATAACATAAATAAACCAATCACATGGATATTATAACCCGAACTTTCTTTACCGAGGACAAATAATGGTAAAGTTTATATAGCTAGCGTTATATATTTTTTTGGATATAACTAATAAAGTAATGTTGTTAATTTTTTAGGATCGATTTAATCTCAACAGTCAACTTGAACATCGTGAGTGTAAATTTAATTATTAATGGCTTAAGAAAAGAAATAAATATTAACATATTCCCTTAGTACAATCAAAGTATGTTGGAACAGGTCATGCAGATACGAATAAATTGTGAGTAAATTTTGTACATGTTTTATTTCGTTACGAGTATATTACATTAACTCTTGGCAACCTATTATAGCGAGTGGTTGGTAAATCAACACAGAGATAGTTATGCGTCCTACATTGGTCATCATGCTTTGATCTCATATTTTTCCGTAGCGCAGAATGAATGTATTGCTAGAGTCAAATTTGAGTTCATAGAAGTAAGTCGAAATTCTGCAAAGGTCTTTCTTTCTGGATCTAATATGCGGAGCTTACATTTAC